TGTCAGCCACAGATGCAGGTGAAACATCAGGAAGAAATTCTTCTAGATCACAGCATTACAGCCTGAAAAGCCCACAAAAACCTATGGATGCCAGCTGTGAAAGCCTTCAACTTCACATTTTGGGGATTGTAGTGCAAAAAGTAATGTTTCACAGCTCTGCACCTATGTTCTCCAAGCTTGGAGCACTGGAATTTGCATTATACTGAGTCAGGTTGCCAGTCTATGCAGCTCATCAGATCAGTAGTTTTTCACATAGGAGTCTTTCTTAGTCTAACCTCAACATTCATACAGATCGTACAGTAATACATTGCTTTGTACATATTTTGCATGCATAACATAGCAATCTCATCTGGCTTCAGAATGTCAACCACAAACAGGCATTACTTCCGTGGTAAGCTACATTAATGAAAGGAGCAAGAAGGAGCAAAAGTTCTGCACTCTTAGCTTCTTCACTCCAGGAGGTGGAACAAATAGTCTCAGAGGAAAAAGTTGGCAAATAGACAATGGCAGCAGTAGTGAGGGTGAGGTTGGCAAACTCACCAAGGAACCCCACTAAAAACATCTTGTCCATGAACAGGTCCCTAGTCTAGTATTGCTTTTGTCATTCCTATTTTACTTTAAGTAGGTGTGCATTGTTGTTGTTGTGTGCCTTCAAGGCATTTCCAACTTATGCCTATCAAGGAATATTCTTGGTAAGATCTGTTCAGAGGGGCTATTGCCTTTGCCTTCTTCTGATGCTGAGAGAGCATGACCTGTCCAAGGTCACACAATCAGTTTCCATGCCTGAGCAGGGATTCAAACCCTGGTCTCCAGAGTCATAGTCCAGTGCTCACACCACTACACCACATTGGCATACACACATATCTACTAAAAAAATAAATAAATAGGTGAAGGCATTATTAATAACACTGAAATATAACAAAGCCCTGATCATTTCAGCCTTGTCTACCCCCCTGGACTGAGCTTACTTGTTTGTTCTTTTCAGGTCTTAAGATTTGTTCTTTCAACTTTCTAGGCATTCTGAGCAGGCATTCTATTTCTCCCTAAAGCCTAAAATTTTGTCCAGTTGCCTGTGTAATCCTTTCCACATGGCATGCATAGGCATATTAATGGAGATGTAAAGACCCTTCTTCCAAATAGCGAGTGAAAAGGAACCTGGCAGCAAGCCTGAATCAAAGAGGACATGCTTGGCGAACCATCTCAATATTCATATAATCTGTATGAATTAAAATATATCTTATGTTGCATGCAGAATAATGATAAAATGAAATTAGATCAATTATTATATTTTAGCTATTCAGGAGTCTGTTGTTTAAAAAACAGTTTACAGGTGGAGATCAAGGAAGCAAGGAAATGATATGTAGTATTTTTTTAAAAGTATGTAATTTTTCCATAATAATGGTTCTCCTTACTTTCTTTTGCTATATAATTTTCAAGTATTATACACTAGCACTTTACCATTTTACATATTATTTCCAGATGTCAGGGGCATTTTTCCTATGAGTGATCCTGATGTAATTAACGAGCTTATCACACCACACTCTTAAAATGGGGCTAGTTCGCTTTAAAAGCTCTGACAGCTTCCTCTTGCATTTTTAGGTTTGTAGTCCCATGAAGCTTAAAGGCTCTCTGGCCGAATACTGGCCGAATATTCTAAATTCCTCTTCCTAAACTACAAGTTCAAGAATGCAAGGAGGCAACCAGAGCAATTAAAATTACTTAGCCCTGCTTTAAGAGTGTAACCGTACACAATAGTCTCTTTAGTCTAGATGACTGTTCTCTACTCAAATAATTCAAAAGGTGAATAGGAAAGTACAAAGTAGGCCCCAAAGAATTTATAATGTTGATCAGAGGCATACCTGAGATGCATACCTGAGAAGCAGCATTATGACAGAGACTGACCATGAAAATGACCAAGTTTTTTTTTTTAATGTATGTCTGTGTTAAATCAGCTTCATGCATTGTTGTGGGGAGCATGAGCATTTAGTGATAAAAACTTTTTGCATGCAAAACATTTTGTCTGTCACTGTGTCTCTTCCCCCTAAGCACCTGCAAGTTATGTTGGGACTATCGTACTTTTTTGTATACTGCCCTTGTAATTTTGTTTGTTTTTCTGCAATACCTTTGCTTTCAAAGGTAGGTTTACCTACAGTTAAGTAGTCTAAATGTAACCTGGAGTTACAGTAGTCCAAAAGGAATATGACACCATGGACATATCTGACATATCCAGGAACACATGCAGGTGGAGCATTGCTCTTAACTGTGCAAATGCACTCCTGCTCAATCTTACATCATAGTATCTAAGGAGAATCCACACTACATAGTTAGGGTGCATTCACACTACACTAAACAATTCAATACTGTCATGATTCCACACTATGGAATCCTAGGAAATGTAGCTTTGTCAGCTACTTAGAATTCTCTGCTAGAGGTCTCTAATGTCATCCCTAAACAATTCTAAGTAAATCCCAGGATTCCCTAGGATGGAGTCATGACAGTTAAATTAAGATTAAGCTTCTATAAATGTGCAATGCAGATACATGCCAGGGATGGATACAGGAAAACATCCAAATTGCAACTGGAATCTTCAAGGGGACTGTAGCCCACATCTAGCACAAGATGAATCCATTTTAATTCTGTTAATTTATTCCTTCAAGTACAGTTCAAACATTCAATAGAACTGCTCTGACCTACAGTACATACTTGTTAAATCTGTAATTTAAAAATGTAATTATTTATTAAAATATTTATATTTTGTCATATAGATCTCTGGATGGTTTACAATAAAAAGTAATGTGACACAATTTAAAATTTAAAATAGTAAAATAATTTAAACATTGAAAAAGCAAAAAAAAAATAATTTTTAAAAGTTGAAACAGTGTAAAACTGTGCACATACACATATTTGGAAGGCATTATTAAACTCAAAAGCTTTAATAAACAACCATGTTTTCCATATCTCCCAGCATTTCATAAGTGAAAACTGGGACACACATTAGCTAGGCAACATCACAGTATGGTCAAGATGACAAAAGGTATTAATGAGGAGGAATTCACAAGCTAGGAGAAGCTGCAGCAGTTTGCTTTTGCCTGAGCCTACTAGAAAGCACAAGACTTCATCCTCTCATCTCCCTGCTTCTGAGTTAACTACTGCTTTGGCTTTTTGAACTCTGTTTGCAGCAAATGAAGTAAGCTAAGGACAGACAGGAAAAGTGGGAGGAGGGAAGGGAAAATGGAACTGGCAGATAGGATGACAAGGGATTAATCCCTTCAAAACTGGGACATTTGGAGGATATGGTTTTGACATGGGGGTGGAAGAAAACCAGCCATGGTGCTAACTGAGCTTCCAAAGGGTGCATTTCACAGGTGGGGTGCCATAATAGAGAATGTCCTCTCCCACATCATCTCACAGTGTGTTGCTTCTACTGGTGGGACACAACAGAAGCTCCTGCTCACAGGCTTCTGTGTTTGGGCAGGCATATATGTGGGAGGTGCTTTTTCAATATAAGGTCCCAAGTAGTGATAGCCTTTTGGCTGAAGAGCAGGGTATAAATACTTCATAATAATAATAATAATAATAATAATAATAATAATAATAATAATAATAATAATAACAATAATAATAATAATAATTTACAGCTTTAGTTTTCTTGGAATAAGTCCCATTAAACTCAGGGAAACTCACTTCCAAATTGAGATGTACGTCTGTTTGTGTATATTCATAAATAGTTCTGCTATATTCCCCAGTGCAGAAATTTGAAGCTCCCAAAAGCTTCAATATAAAGAATACAGTTTAAAATCCTGCAAACAAAAATTCCTGCATTCCTTTTTAAAGCCCACTCTAAATGTCAATACACCAAAACATCAGTTCCAGCCATTAGTGAATTTGCATTATGGCTGAGATGAAAAACAAAGGATAGGAAGAAGCAACCTGAGGGCAATTCTAGAGAAAAACTCAAATGTTTGGGATTGAAGAAGACAGTAAATAGTGAAATGAAAAGAAAAAAAATGATTATTTCCTTTCTTTTGGCTGATAGAAAAGATAGTTTTGCTTATTGGAGAGGCCATGCTTACTGGATTTTTGTAAGCAAAAAAGAAAAAAAAGATACTTATAGTCATTTCCTACCTCACATAAACATAAATTGGTTTGAAAGCTCATTTAATTGTTCTATCAACAAGGAACTTTCCTCAGGAATCATAAGGTATATGCATTTTCCTGCCCAGAGGATCATAGAAGAATTATAGAATCATAGAGTTGGAAGAGACCACAAGGGCCATCCAGTCCATCCTCCTGCCATGCAGGAACTCACAATCAAACCATCCCCAACAAATGGCCATCCAGCCTCTGTTTAAAGACCTCCAAAGAAGGAGACTCCATCACTCTCTGAGGGAGTGTGCTCCACTGTTAAACAGGAAGTTCTTCCAAATGTTTAGGTGAAATTTCTTTTCCTGTAGCTTGCATCCATTGTTTTGGGTCCTATTCTCTGGAGCAGCAGAAAAGAAGCTTGCTCCATCCTCAATGTGACATTCCTTCAAATATTTAAACAGAACTATCATATCACCTCTTAACCGTCTCTTTTCCAAGCTAAACTTATCCAGCTCCCTAAGTCATTCCTCATGGTTTCCAGACCCTTCACCATTTTAGTTGCCCTCCTTTGGACATGCTCCAACATGCCCACATCCTTTTTGAATTGTGTTGTCCAGAACTAGACATAGGACTTTATCACACATGGGCCAGTTT